CAAAACAGTGAACAATATGTTCTATTACTTCTAATAAAGCTTTAGTTGTTGAGTATTTTTTTCTAAAACCAACTTGAGAGCTAGATATAATTGATTTGTTATCCAAATTATTTGCTATACGATCTTTAATTAAGATTTCAAAAATTTTACTTATTGTGGGTACTATGGTAATAGGTCTGTAATTGTCTGGAGCAATTTTATTTCCTTTTTTATGAATTGATATTTTGAATACATCAGGCCAGTAACCCTCGTTAATACATTTGTTAAATATTATTGTGAGTGGTTCAACAATTGTATCAAACGATTCTTTAATAATTTTACTGTTAAAACCATAGTAGTCAACATATGAGGATTTTTTTAATTTGTATATGCATTCTTTCACATCAGATGCTACTATTGGAGACATAAGGAACGAACTTGACCTTCTAGGTAGCCTGCTAAGATAGTAGTTCATGTCATGCTCAGAGTCTCCTATTGATTTCGATATAATATCTGATATATTCGTAAAGAATTGGTTAATTTCTTCTGGTGTTAAGTTCAGATTAGACGTAGTATGTTCCTTATAGGTTTCTTTTTTAACAGTACTCCATATTGTCTTACTTTTGTTGGTGGATTTGTTAATTATGTTAGCATAAGCAGTACGTTTTTCAGCGTTTATTGCTTGATTATATTTTTTTCGTATTTGACAATATTTAATCCAATTGTCAATAGTATGTGTTTTTCTATAAGTTGCTTTACAATCGTAGAGTTGTTTTCTTAAATCTCGAAGTTTCCTATTAAACCAATGAATAGCACTTTTTCTGCTATTCACGTTTTTTAAAGGAAAACAAATGTTGTATTCTTCACACATATATTTTATAAACAACTCTTTCATGTTGTTTGAATTACATTGGATATCGTCAAACACCGTTCAATCTTTGGATTTAATTTTTTCCACAAAATTCTTAATATTTTTTTCATTAATTAATCTTTTTTTAGTCTTTTCTATAATTAACAATCAAAAGACTGATATGTTTTTTGTACACACTTATGACAAGTCAAAAGAAAAGGCAAAAAAGTATTTTTGAAGTGTGTATATTTTAATAATTCCTAGCTGAGCGCTTTCGGCTTTACAAAGCCATCATCGGAGCTATGGTCAATTTATAAATACCACTACAATGGAGAGATCTCATTTCCTTATTTGTTGAAATTTTGATTTTTTTAATTACTTAGTTGTTAAAATTCTTAAAAAACATACAAAAAACCGACACTGGACTTCACAGACACATTAAAGAATTTTTTGTCATGGTGCGGGTGTAAGAACCCGACCATTGTTTGCTATGAGGAGATAGACAGAATATTCTGTCTATCTCCTTATAGAAAAATGTTTTAATGTGTCTGTGAAGTCCAGTGTCGGTTTTTTGTATGTTTTTTAAGAATTTTTAACAACTAAGTAATTAAAAAAATCAAAATTTCAACAAATAAGGAAATGAGATCTCTCCATTGTAGTGGTATTTATAAATTGACCATAGCTCCGATGACGGCTTTGTAAAGCCGAAAGTGCTCAGCTAGGAATTATTAAAATATACACACTTCAAAAATACTTTTTTGTCTTTTCTTTTGCTTTTCTATAATTGTAGACACATTTTTTAAATCACTCACAATAGCAAATATACCCAAATGATCAGATATTACTGGATCGTAGACACCTGTATTTAAATTTGTTCATTAATATTAGTAAATATATTATCAAGGCAAGAGCTTGAAGGAAGTGACACTCTTCTGGGCGCTTTTATGAAATGTTTAAGCCGTACATGGTTAAGAAATTTCGTATTTCACATACATGCCCTGTGTTTACTTCCATATTTATGTTAATGTCACCTAGTATCATTATATTTTCATATTTTTTATAGGCGAAATCAATTAAAGCATATTATTTAGCTTTGAAAACAGTAATATCCCCATTACAGGATCGATAAAGTGCAATTATCAAAAAACGATTTTTTTTTAAATTTCAACACCACAGAATACAGCATTCAATGGATCACAAAATTTGTTTATATATATATATACATATATATATATATATACAGTATAGGTAAAAGTTTATGGTCGGTATGGACCTTACATGAGATGGAGTGAGAAACAACTGTTTAAAAAAGAGAGAGATATATTAGGTGTCCGCCTTTTATATCACCGAACATAATGAGTGGATATGGAGTGGATATAATAAAAAGGGGAAATTCAACGTTGCCAAACTTATTGGTTTTATTTTGACCTGTTGTCTTTTTCGCATTTGAACAATGCTCTAAGATAATGAAATTTGGCGACGAATGGATTTAAATGGCAGGTTATTGTTTTTTATTGGGAATATGCCACAATTTTACTTTACAATAAGTGTAATATAACATTTTGATTTATACTTCGGAAATCGTTTTTATATAAATAAAATTTATTAATGTTTGGTATTTTAAAAACGATTTCCAAATTAAAAATCTAAACATCAAAATAAGCTTATTTTAAAGTGACATTATGCCTTATTTCCAATAAAAATATTAAACTGCATATAAATAAAAAAAAGCTTCGTACAAAACTATTTGCCAACGTGGCGTGTCGCGTGGCCAAATCACCGAATCAAAGCGTAAACAGGTATTTACGAATAGAGGTGGGTCATTGACGTCGCAAAACCGATTTTCGTAAACAAGTAACTATGATTTTTTAATAGTAGTTTCAAGTAAGAAACTACCTACATAAACAAACATAATGGCTATTATCGTTTATCTGTATATTTATTGAAGTGAAGGAAACTAATAAAAGATTTTATTATAACTTGAAAACTAAACTAAACAATACAAATAGTAAATCGTACCTACGTTTACATTACACGTTATTAATAAATCACGAATCGTCTAAATTGACATTTAAAAACATAAGTTTTTTTACTTTACTTCTAATTAACCGTGTTTTTATTTTATTTAAAATTAAAACCTGATTTTGAACATGTGTTCACATTTACAATACTTTATGAATATAGTGGTTAAGTTAGGGAGATAACATGGCGATGGTTTTTCCACCATTGTAATGGACTCTCGCTACAAGTGTACGTTTAGATGAGTCATGTCCAATTAATTGATCAAAAATACAATATGGACTTAAAGTCATCTTTTATCGGTTTCTTTTTCTTATACTGGTTGATTTTCAATAGTACAATCTTCTTGTTCTTTAATTATAGAAGTAACCAGCTTCTTAACTCTTTCTTTTGTTTTTTTAGCGTCATTTTTACCAGAAAATCCCTGCACTTTAAATCGTGAATCCATAAACGTACATAATGACAATATGCCACTGTATTCTGTCCCTCTAAATCTTTTTGCTAAACCCGAGATTAGTAATTATCCCGTAATTAGTAATAAAAAAACCCGTACTACGTCGGATACTAACTATGGATGTAAGGTTACTGTTTGCTAAAATTTTTTTGCAAGATTTTTGCAGGCAGCGTACCAGAACAATCACTGAACTATCATTCAAGTATTTTTGGCAACTCATTGTACTTGTTATTTCTTAAAAGGCCGTAAAATTTAGGACAATTACGAAAAAATAATCCAGTCTTCATTATTTAGATTTGGTCTAAGTCTAAGTTTGTATTAACTGATACCAATGTGAAACGGATTGCCTCTTCTAACTCCGTCATTCTTTCTAACATGTAATAGGTGAAGTTCTACCTAGTTTCCACGTCTTGGATTGGCCGTTTGGGATCTTTGTTATGTTGTAATTGATACTTTAACAGCGTTTCTGAAGATAAGGTACTTTTTTGAAATGTGTTTTTTGCCGAATTGTCGAAAAAAAGACTTTTTATTTTATCTATTTGTACACGACAGCATTTAAGTGCGTCCTCCATCAATAAATTTAACGTATGAGCAAAACAATTTAAATGTTTTCATTCCAAAACATATTTAATAGCTATGACCATATTTGAGGCATTATCAGTTTTGCATATGCAAAATTTACTTTTTGTTTTAGACCCCACTGAATAATAATTTCACTAATTTTAAAAGCGATGTTTTCTGAATTATTGTTTCCAGAAAAATGGCAGCAGTCTAATTAAACCGTGTTAAACTCTAAATTTTCGGTTAAATTCGTTAAAATCAACTAGTTGATGGTTGAAGCTGGTTACTTCTATAAAAAAAAGAAAAAGAAGATTATACTATTGAAAATTAACTAGTACAAGAAAAAGAAACTGATAAAGATGATAAGTCCATGTAAATGTAAGTACTATTTGTATTGTTTAATTTATTTTTCAAGTTATAATAAATATATTCTTCGTTAGTTTCTTTCACTTCAATACTTATACACATAAACGATAATAGCCAATATGTTTGTGTACTCGCTAATTTGAATACTGGTAAACAATCAACTAGTTACAGTTTACGAAAAACGGTTCCGATAAAAATTTAAAAAACTAAAGGACCCACCTCTAGTTTCTTAGCTTTATGAGGATCGGAACCACAGAATATGTAAAATATCTCTGATCGGAACTAATAGTCTCACTAACAGGCAAAATGGGCGTCAAGAAGATTTATGGAGGGGAGACCAAGGGGGAATATGATTGTTATCTTTGTCTATTCGCTGAAAATATGATTTTAATATCTGTGTTAGATATCCTGTTAAGTTTTACCATACCGACCATAAAATTTTACCTACACTGTATATACCACAAAGCATAAGGTCTTTTTATTTAAAGTAAATTTTATGTTTCTGAGTTTGTCTTCGGTCTGACACTGCCAGACGAAACATGTAGTCTGAACGAAAGACTGATTTTTATTCAAATTGTATTCAAATACATTTGCGATCGCTGCATAGTTCAGAGACACATGTCGATATCTATTTTCTATCATTAAAAGTATGTATAGATGGCGTTTTATAGCAGCAATACATTATGTATAAATTTTGATGAGAGTATTAGAAGAATGGTTCAATTGCATAGTTTTGGATTATATCATATGCTAATAATTTTAAAATCTCAGTCCAACTAAAGCAAGCGGTGGAGGAAAGCTAGAGATGTTCTCAAATGTGAAAAACAAGGTTGAGGGTATAGGAGGTTGGTTGGGATCCAGTATTCCAAAATTAAGAAAGTCAGACACCGAGAATCCTACTGATGGTCAGGAGCAACCGCCTATTGCAGAAACTTCAGAACCTCACAGTTCAGAAGTCCACGCCCCCAAAGACGATGATGATAATTCAAGGTAAGTTGAACACTAAAAATAATTCTAGACATTGCAAATATTGATCAGTGAATAAATATATATTTTTAATTTGTTTATAACTAGGGTAGAATGCATCTAGAAATTATATGCGGACGGGACAATAAAATTAAAAAATATTGATGAGAAATTTATTAGTAAGGATTATAATGAATTATTTTAGATTGCTGATAATGCGGAGGATCTGAAAACATTAATAGACCGTGTAGTGGAAGCCTGTGACAGATACGATACATGAAATTAAACTGTAAGAAGACCAAAATTCTTGTAGTAAGTAAAAACGACGTAATACAATACCAATTCACAGCTAATAATGAACCATTGAAATAAGATGTCGTATAGAAAAGGCGAGAGCTGTCTTCAATCGCCTCAAGAAGATTTTATGTAATATGCACCTGAATATTGATATAAGAACACGAGTCTTGAGATGCTATATGTTTTCTACCCTTTTATATGGAGTCGAAGTCTGGACCTTGACTGGGGCAACATCCAAACAATTACAAGCCTTTGAAATGTAGTGCTACCGCCGCATGTTCAGAATTTTCTATATCCATCATGTTACAAACAACACCGTGATCCGTATGAATAAAGATCTGGAAATTATGCGTATCGTCAAAATTAGAAAGATGACATACTTATGACATGTGATGCGCAATGAGAAGTATCAACTAATTTAACTAATTTTACAAGGCAAGATAGAAGGCAAAAGATCTCAAGGGCGCAGAAGGACATCGTGGTTGAAGAACATTAGCCAGTGGGCAGGAATGACTTCTTCTTTGAATGCTTTTCCTATCGGAGATTGAGAAGTTTAATGGACCAACGTGATTGCCAACATCCACAGAGGAAGAAGAAGAATGAATTATTACTAAATAAGTATATAAAAAATTATTTTTTTTTGGATAGTACGTAGACCATTTAACTTCAAATATATATGGTTTGGTTCTAAAACTAAAGCTTCATCATCATCACTGGCTCGACAACCCTTTTTGGGTCTTGGCCTGTTCAAGGATTCTTCTCCATTCTGACCTGTTTCGTCCTTTTTTTTTTCCAGTTTCTAACTTTTAATGTTGTTATATCATTTTCTATTTGTTCTACGTATCTCAGCTTCGGTCTTCCTCTTGTTCTTTTTCCTACTGGCACTTGTTTGAATATTTTGTTTGGTATTTCGCCTTCTTCCATTCTTTCCACATGTCCAATCCAACGTAGCCTTCCTATTTTAATGAATGTTATGATATCCGGATCCTGGTATATGTTGTATAGTTCAAAGTTATACCTTCTCCGCCAAATCCCGTTTTCTTTTGTGCCCTTATATATGTGTCGCAAGATTTTTCTTTCAAAGGTGGCTAATAACGTTTCCTCCCTTTTAGAGAGTGTCCAGGTTTCTGAACCGTATGTGAGTACCGGTCTTATTAAGGTCTTGTATATTTGGCATTATTGACATTATATTAAAGAGGCAGCAAATAATATTCTAGAGCCAGAAAGACCACCACCACGTAATGACTGGTTTGATGCTGAGTGTGAGGACATTACAAGAAGAAAGAACGATGCATATAAACTGATGCAGCAAAGAAGAACCCGAGAAAAACAGCAAAAATATTAAAGATCTCAGAAAAGAAGAGAAGTGCATTCATAGAAGGAAAAAGCGAACTCACGAAAATAGGAATATTGGAAGAACATGAGGTATTAAAAAAGGAAAACCAAACAAGAAAATTCTACAAAACTCTGAATAACGCAAGAAAGGAATTCAAACCAAGGCTCAGACTATGTAAGGATAAGGAGGGGCATATACTAAATACAAAAGAAGAAGTACTGAAAAGGTGGGTGGAACACTTTAAAGAACTACTTACTATAGAAGTAGAAGATCCAGATCCAAATCAACCACCCGGAGGAGCAAGCAACAATTCACCATTAGAACCTCCGTCAATTCAAGAAGTACGAGATGCAATAAAACACCTAAGAAACAATAAATCTCCAGAAGTGATGGTATACCCGCGGAACTTATCAAATGTGGAGGTGCTTCTGTGACTAATCAAATATATAAAATAATACTGAGAGCCTGGAATGAGGAACAAATCCCGGAAGAGTGGTGTATTGGAATCGTTTGCCCGCTACACAAAAAGGGTGACCAATTGGAATGTAGAAACTATAGGGGAATAACCCTCCTTAATACAGCATAAAAAATATTTTCGAGGATCATATGGATGGTGTTCTGCAATAATAGTCTAAGCCACATATATATGGTTCAGAGTAAATGAGCATATTGTGTCTACCTATTTTAAGAAATTCACTGATAGAAAATAAGGCTTTATTTTCACATTTTTTATATTTCAATAATTACAGACTACCTAAAAAAACCTACAAAAGCAAAATAAGTAAAACCAGTTTATTGCAAAAATAACTTAAAGCGGCTTAGACGGTTTTTGCAAAATTGTAAAAATATAAATGGCCATTTTGCAATAACCGTCTATCTGTCCGAAATGGCGAATACACAAAAAAACTTCTAATTCAAATTCATTAGTAATAGTACGTAACTGTTACTGATTAAATTCCTACTCGATTTAATCTTGATTAATCTCGAAATCAGGATTTAACCCAATTGCTTCCAAATCATACCTCTATATTCCTATCATATTCCTACAATATTTTGCTGACCAGAATTTTGACTATCAAGCAACAGTTCCAATATTTTATATAATGAACAACTGGTTTCGTTATTTGATAATGCAATTTTTTGTCGGCAATTATGGCTCCAACATTCGAGTAATGGCAAAACATATTATATTACCTTTTCGGGCTACTATATGGCGGGCGATAAAAGGAATTTAAAAATTTCTTTAATCAATAATTGCCGAGCTGACAGCATAGAAAATTCACAGTTTTAAATAAGATACTTTCGTATTTTACCATTAAAGATAAAGCCTCTAGTTTGGTATAATTGTATTTAAATAAAATTGTAATATTAGCGTAATAATAAATTTCTCGTCTTTTAATAAGTCAAAATAAAGATTTGTTCAATTTAATATTTTGCATCTGGTGCACACAATGAAAAGACCCTTACAAAGATTTGCAACAAGCGTCTAACCCACATATTTATATTGAAAACGTGGGTTAGACTATTTTTTACAAATTTCTATTTTCATATTATTTGACGAATGTGGTTTAGAACTTAGTTCACAAACGCCTCCATGGGTATGGATATGGCTTATATCATTTTTGCTTGATATAGTATGCATTATGATCGACAGTTTGACACATCTAACCTCATTTGTAAATAAATGTGGGTTAGACGGTTGTTGCAAAACACCGTCCATATATGGTCGCCTAAGTACATATTCAGAGGAACTTCTCGGGGAATATCAAAGTGGCTTTAGGCCTGGTCGATCAAACAACAGATCAGATCTTTGTGCTAAGGCAAATACTGGAAAAAACCAATGAATTCAATATCGATACATACCATCTTTTTGTAGACTTCAAATCTGCCTATGATAGTGTCCTAAGAAATAAATTATATGAAGCAATGAATGAATTCCACATCCCCGATTAACTGATAAGATTGGTTAAGGCTACAATGCGTAATGTGGTTTGCAAAGTCGAAATACAGGGCGAACAATCACAGGCGTTTGGAACGCATGTTGGGCTGCGACAGGGAGACGCGCTGGCGTGTCTCCTTTTCAACATAGCACTGGAAAAGGCGATCAGAGATGCCCGAATAGACAACAGAGGAAATATTTTTAATAAATCATCCCAAATTTTGGCATATACAGATGATGTGGACCTAGTTGCCCGCACAACACGCAAGCTAGAAGAAATGTATACCACCTTCTCAAATGCCTCAAAATCTATGGGCCTGCAAGTAAATGAGGAGAAAACTAAGATGATGGCATCAACACCCAACAATAGAGCCAGGAACATCGGTCCCCAATTCACGGTTGATAACTCTACCTTTGAAGTGGTTGAAAAATTCACATACTTAGGCTCCCTGATCACCAAAGAGAACGCCATAACGGAAGAAATCAAGCGAAGGATAGTAATGGCAAACAGATGCTATTTTGGACTGAGTAGACATATGAGAAGTAGAAACTTAAGCCAAAAAACAAAAATAACTATATACAAAACCCTTATACAGCCAGTGTTGACGTATGGATCAGAGACATGGACCATCTCCAAGGCAGACGAAGACCTTTTGCTTATATTTGAACGAAGGATCTGAGAGGAATATTTGGTGGCATCTGCGAAAATGGTGTTTGGAGGAGGAGATACAACTACGAGGTATACCACAGATATAAACAAATATTTGGTGGTAAAGACATAGTATCTCTTATAAGAATAGGAAGATTAAGATGGGCAGGACATCTAGCAAGATCACAGTAGAACTACCCTCCTAGAAGAATCCTTATGTCACAACCCGTGGGAAGCAGAAAAAGGGGTAGCCAAAACTCAGATGGAAGGATGGTGTAGATGAGGATGGTAGAAAGATAGGCGCAGCAAACTGGCAACGGTTGGCAATGGATAGGACTGCCTGGCGTAATAGACTTGGGAAGGTCGAGGCTCTTTCATAGGGCTGTAGCACCATTGATGATGATGATATTTGGCATTTTGTTTTTCTGGAGACGTTATCTGATCTTAGTTGCCTAATTAAGCCATGGTAACATTTATTGGCAATAAATATTCTCCTCTGCACTTCCTCTGCAACGTTGTTATCAGACGTAACTAGGGATTCTAAGTATGTAAAGTTTTTTACCGCCTCAATGTTGTATGCTCCTATTGTTAAATTTGGCAGCTGCCTTATTGGTGAGTTTTTATTTGCTGGCATATATTTTGTTTTTGTCTGATTGATTTTAACACCACTATTTTTTGCAGCTCGTTCTATTTTGAGTGAATGCCTCTATCATTTCTCTTCTTGATCTTGCGATTATGTCAACATCATCTGCAAATGCTAGTACTTGCACGCTTTTATTAATTATTGTTCCTCGGGTATTAAC